AGAGACACTGCTGTCCAACCATCAGGGTATGTTTTTGCGTAAACAACAGCCACTTCTCTAGCTGGGCATGTAGCTTGGCTTTACTTCCACATTTGTTGAATTCAACAGGAGTAAACCGGAAGAAGGCTGTCGTATATGGCAAGCCGCTTTAATATACATTGCTTAAAAACGAATTATTTGTTTTTATGTTACCGCCGGTAACGTTACTTATTTTTATACTTTCTGGTATATTGTAGTTCAGTTCATACTAGTATACTTTCATCCTCCTTTGCTATTAGTCTCTATTCCAGTAGTGTTTCGTATTCCGTTAAAATTTACTAGGCTATAAAATAAAAGTCCTTGAACATAATTACTAACAACTGTTTACTGTACACCACACAGATATAACCTACTGAGCATGATACATTTGCAATAACATTTCTAGTGATATTAAATATTTTTAACATACAGCAATGAAGAGAAGTACTTGAATGAAGTAAATGTATATTGATTTGTCATAGAAAAACTGCAAGAGAGATACGCTTGAACACATTATAGGCTATAACTTTTAAGTATGTCTAATTGTCTATATTTATTCAGTCTATACGTGATCTGATGATGTACTCTAAACTGAAAGACATGAGCAAATGGCGTCTAAATCAATAGATACTAGTCATTATTTGGAATAAGTACTACTAGCTAATGAATAGGTCATTATTTTAACTGAAAAGGTAATGTTTCTTGGGTTGGTTAAAAATAACAAAGTAAAAAAGGAAGGAAAAGGGTGCAGTGGTGTGCCAATGTGTCCTTCCTTTTTGTTTTTTTGCATTGAGCTTTTTTTTTTGCCTGTTAGATGCGCACACTTTGTGTTGAATTGTAACAATAACTAGTAACATACAAATAAATACTATTTAGTTGTAAGGAATAAATGTTAAAATGGTTTACCATATTTCGAAAAGTAGTTGCAGCAGTAGTGCTGATTGATATTTCAGGGTTGAAGTCCACCTTGCTTGGTTTTAATGCAAACAATGCAGTTTGTTGTTCCTGTAAGTAAAGTTTATTTATAGAGCGCTTTTCACAGATAAAATCACAAAGTGCTTTACAAAGTGCAACCAAAATAATAAAACTGTATACAACAATACATATTTTAACATTTAAAAATTGTGACTTGTCATAAAATAAGAACTTATAATATTTTATGAACCTTTTTTTCTGAATGTTGTTTATTCACCTGTCCATGCAAAATTGAGCTGGTTCTCAGACCTGCTTCTTTCAAACGTAAAAGTTCAAATAATTTTCAAAAGGACAATGTACTCATAAGATCCCAAATAATATGCATTAAGAAGAAAACTAGCAGCACTGTAATAGACACAGTGTTTCTAAATAGTAATATGTTGTATTCTCTCCCACCCCGAAACCCCATTCAGATCTGTGTGTGTCCACTGAGAAAGACAGGATTTATCTGCAGGATTCCAAAGGAGAGGAGGAGGGGCTTTCTCCCTCTGAAAGTCTCTGCAAGGAGTCTCCAGAAGCAGTGGATTTGCAATGCATGGTTGACCTTCCATGCACAATCTTCAAAGAAACTGTAGGTGGCGCTGATTTTTAACTTTCTCTTATTCGATTTCTATCAACTAGAATATATACTTTGATGAAATAATGTTCATTTTAAAGATTTTTTTTAGTAAGTGTTTTATTTAACTTGAAATTTTAGTTGTGATAGTCAGTCCACATTCACACTAGTGTTTTGGGAAACCCAATCAAATTTTATATTATTATTATTATAAAAATTAAGACTGATTATTATAAAAATATATTACTCTTGTAAATTGTGATTGTACTGTGAAATAAATGGATATTTGCTAATTATAATAATTTATTTTACACTAAGTTACAATAGTAATATTTGTATTAAAAAAACAATATGTATTCACTTTCAAAGTTCAAACCCTCAAGCTATTTAACATTGTGAATGCTCAAGCTTTTATTTTGGTAGTTTACTGGGGAAATGCTTTAGACATCTGTCCTAAAAAAATGTTGGAAATTATGCGACTGTGTAAATAAAGGAAATCGAGCTGGTCGGAGATGCTGAAAACACTAGATCACAAACTGCCAGTGTTTCAATCTGAAGTACTTCAGAGCATGAGACTATACAGTTATTTAATTAAATCACAGCTATATTGCAATTATCTTGCAACCCCATTTATTTTAATTTTATATTGGGTAATTTGGGTATAATTAACTATTAGCTTTCCATTTACTCACAACCCCCCTGAAGTTCCCTTACTAACCCTAAACCTAAAGAACAAATAGATATTAATATGAATTTAAATGCTGAAATATACTGCACCAAAGATTTGGAACAATTTCTATTTCTTTTCCCTTATTGACCAAGTCATATTGTTTACTGTTTTTCAGGAGATTGGACTGGGGAGAGGAGACAGCTTAATTCACGACACCCCACGGACAGATGACTTGAAGAAACCAGAGACAATTCAGGAAAATGGTATAAAGAAACTAGACCAGCTTGATTCATAATCCTATTATATTTAACTGCATAAGCTGAATATATAAAATACAATTTTTCTTTCTAATCTATCCAGAAATAAACTGATTCTCAAAAAAGTAAATCTTTTATTTACAAAAATATTAAACAAACTTTAACAGTTTTACAAAAAATCTGAAATTACTACAGAATGAAAACAAATTTCTTCCTTTTTATGCTTTTTTGTGGTCTCTTAGGTCTTCTAGGACTTGATGCTCTTGAGGAAACTTCTTCACACTCTATAGTAGATCCAGAGTCTCATCTATTCAGCTCTGTTCTAGGTAACATTCCCAGTGCTGACCTTTCCATTGACAGTATAAACCAGTGGGACCATGTCCTTATGGAAGTAAATTCTTCACTGTCTGTTGAAAAGTCACCTCGCATAGAATCTCCTCAATCCACCAAAACCCCAGCGGAGGCCACTGAACTCAGCCAGGCATCAGGTAATAGTGCTTTGAATGCAAAGAAGGTGCGTTTCCAGCTGAGCAAAACACCTTTCGATTGCAAACTGTTACGGCCTTGTTCTGTGCAACTTGTGAACCTACTGATGCTGTCAAGTGAGCAGAGGGCGAATGGATCCAGCAAAAAATGCTTCTCTACACCCAAAGATCTGCGAGCCCACCAGCGTGTCCATACGGGACGTCGGCTGTGCTGCTTTAAAGACTGCGGGAACGGCATTTGGCGCCTGCAGGGAGCCCTCTCACAAGGGCATGCTCATGCCTGCAAGATCTGCGGCAAAAAGTTCAAACGCAAGAAGATCCTAAAGCGTCACGAGCGCTTTCATACAGGCGAAAAGCCGTATTCCTGCAGAAAGTGTAAAAAGACATTTGCCCTGCGGAAAAGCTTGCGAAGGCACGAGCGGTTCCACACTGGAGAGAGACCTCACGTCTGCCCACACTGCAGGAAAGGCTTCCGTCTCAAAAACAATCTCAAGGCTCACCTGCGCTTTCACTCTGGGGAAAAGCCCTTCATTTGCAACCTGTGCTCGAAGGGTTTTCGGATCCTCAAAAACCTTGAGAGACACAGACTCACTCATTCGGCGCCAGTTAGCTTTCGAACTCTTCAGTAACAGAACAAATGTTTTGTGTGGCCTAAACCAAACGCCATATTTCTACCTCGCATCAGAACCACTGGATCCAGCCGGTAAATCTAGCACCCGAGTTGACGCACAATAGCAGGCAGGATGTAGGAACATTGGGGTGACTCATTTTACGTGTTCAGGTTTCTTTTTTTTTTTTTCTCCTTGATACCACATTGTAAATGGTTCTCATGTTGATTAGGGTTGTTTGTGGACAGTTTTCTTCTGGTGTAGTCTTTGCCCTTGACTGCATCTGTACTAATCATATACAATCATTTTTTTTCAGTAGTTTCATCATGCCACTAAATGTCAAATATCCAGGGCATTAGTGGGTTCAGTCCTGCAGTAAAACACAAACAGACTTGACTAATTATTGCTTGCTGTAAATACTTGTCATACTTATATGATGCTTTTATTTGTAAAAATGACTTTTTATCAATCTGGATCTTTTTAACATGCCTGTCTGGACTCATTCAAGAGGATTTGTGTGTGTGTGTGGTTGAACACTGGAGATAATTGGATGCTGCAGGATTCACAGGGGTTTATATGTCCTTGTAATACTTTTTAAAGCAACATACTTTAGAGTCTTGTTGTTCACTACTTGTTTAGCACGCTTTGCTCACTTTAAGCTTAAGCTAAAAAACAAAATGCTGTTAGTCACACTATTGCTCGCATTTCCACTTTATTTTACTTGTACTTTTTAACATTTGATGTGATCTCTTTGTATGGACCAAGCAAACATTTATCAGAGAGATTGTTTTATAAACATGCTTTTTTTGTTTTATCTTTACCTTTTTAACATTATGCTGTCACTCACATGATTTTAGTTCGATATTAAAAACGTAGTAACATTTGTAGTAACATTTGTGAGTTTATAGCAAACAAAAGAAATGGTTTCAACCTTAGCTTTTGCTATACATCCTTTTTTTTTTACCATTCCTCATCCTCATAACCATTATGACAAACCTATATAGTTTCTTTTTGAATAAACAATAACCTCATATCTTTGTTTAATGGGTTGTTTTTATTAAAAGGTTCAAGCATATATATATGTATTTTCCTGCTGCTGGAGAATATAACTCAATAGAAAGATTAGTATGAACAATGACCTCCAAGAGCTGCAGTCAATTGAGAAACTTTACTGAAGACATACAAACTATTCCACACGTCCAATAACAAAAGTTTGAGCAATTCAATGTAAAAACATGCCAGCGAATTTGAAAATGATTCCAACCAAACTTTTTTTTTATGTGGACTGGGAGATGCAAATGTCTCCTGGGACATTGCAGTAATCTTTGAGAGTATTTTATAGAAGAGATGACAAAAAAAATGGGGGGGGGGGTAGGGGCCTTCGAAAGGACAAATACTTTTGTAGAACCTCTTTACACATTTTGTGGCAAATTTATACTTTCAGCCTTCTTTAACCTTGCACAACAACTGATTTAGATCAGGGTTTCCCAAAATGGGGTTGCTAGGGGGACTTCAGGGGGGGTTTGGGAGTTGTTGAAAGCAAATAATTAATCAAATCCTCAAAAGTTTAAAGCTGCAGTCCGTAACTTTTGGCGCTCTAGTGGTTAATAAACAGAACTGCATGAATCTTGCGGAAGAACATTGTAACCGGAACTACTTATCTCTGTTTATGTTTATGATGAGTCACGCAGGTACTGGGCTACTCCGCAGCGCTGCCGACCCGAACCAGTCTGAAATTGTCAGAATATAAACATTTACTGTAGGTGTACCGTAGTGATTCTGGATAAGATAAAAACACGGTTAGGAAAATGGATTCATTATGTAGTCGCTCATTATATATATATATTATAATTTTTAAACACAATCTCAGGGGGTAGGCTACTTTTTAAATTAAAGGGGTCAAAAAAATTGTGAATGTCATATAATGCATCCTTGAATATGGCAGAGAAATGACATATTTTGTTACCGATTCTTTTTTTTTTAGCTTGCGACTTGTAAAAGTGCTCTCTATTTTCAGATTCAAAATTCTTACGAACTAAATGGACTACATACTGATCAGACATCTATAATAAAATAATATAGCCTATGTTTCTACCAGCAGGGACATCTGCAGTTTTTGTAGTGTACTGACACAACCATTTGAGTGTCATGTTAAAATGGGTACGTTTGCAATGAATTCTGAAACTTAGTCCATTTTGGCTGCCTTTTATTAATACTTGAGTAATTTCTGTAACACAATCTAAAAAAGTCAGCAAAACCCCATAACTAAGGCAAAAAGATTTTACACAAGAGCACTTGTGAACACTGATCTAAGACACTGTCAGTACAACACAAGAAAACTGAAAATATAATAGAATTGCAGACTGATTGCATTACTGTTTGAGGTTCACTAATACTCTTAAATTTGTCATCATAATCAAAAATGACTGCATTTGAAAATAATACAATGGTTCAGATTTGTCTCACTTTAACACATTAACTAGTAACATATATATATAAAAAATAAAAATAAACCACTGGCCCAAAACTGAGTGGAAACAATACAAGGTCCAAAAAACCCCCCACAATATTCACTGTACGTCCTTTTCTGACAGTTTCAACTAGGAAAACAAATGTCAAAACATGATGTTCGCAGTATATTCATCAGCAGTTGTAACAAAGACATAATTTGTCCTTTCATAGAGTGATTTTTCCACTGCCATTTTCATGCCTTAGATATTTACAACAAAAACACTAAACTTTCACTAGTAATTCCAGTAAAATTCTGTTGTGTTATTATAAAAGACACATCCAGGCATGCTAAGACCCAGAATCAGGAGGATTTCGTTTCATTTATTTGACAGTGGCTGAGTTCTGGCTCTTGATTGAACACCAGGCCATGAAAATATCCCTGTTAAGAAAGTAAAAATAGGGACGGTTAGTAAATGTCTGACTGTACAAAAAAAAAAGCACCTTAAATAAAAAAAATAAAAATAAAAAACACCTGCAGTGTGTGGCCACACATTCATTGCTGCAATACTCCTTATCCCAGTCTCGACTATCCACAGCCAGGTTTGTGCATCCAGCACGGACACAGAGATTCACAGGAGGAGTGGAAGAGGAGACCGCAGGAGCAACACTTACCTCCATCTCCATCTGAAAAAACAGGATAAAACAAGCAGTTACACTCTGAATAACTTTGCTGTGTACTTGTGTTTGATCTCTTAAGGCCCAGATATAATTACAGCGTAGTCTTGTTCGTTCTTTATTTATTGATAAAAAGAAGTTTGAAATACCTGCGCGGCGGTATACTGGTAGTGAACATAGATTAATAAGTAAATACAATAACAAAATAAACAATAAAATTGACAGTGGTGAGAAAATAGCAGTTAAGAAAGCATCTGATCATAGCGATGTGGATATGTTTGCAAAAGCTCTGCAATTCCACACTCCATACAAGTCATGTCACATTAAATTATATAGGTTTTATTTAGGTTAAATTATAAATGATATAGGTTTATAGAGCATGTTTATAGCATTAGGCATAAAAACAGTGTCAGACTTCAGTTAAAATCTTCAAAAGTGGTAGTTGCGTAGCTGTCAATGGAGGGTCAGAAAGCTCTCAGATTTCATCAAAAAGATGTTCGTTTGTGTTCCGAGGATGAACAAAAGTCTTGCAGGTTTGGAATGACATGAGGGTGAGTAATTAATGAAAGAATTTTTGGCTTAACTATCCCTTTAATTTTACTCCGTACTTACTGTTATAATTACGCTGTAACAGGGACATCTTGAAATAAAGTGTAACCACAGTAGCTCTGTTGATGTTAATTATTGGAAAAACAAACCTCTTCGGGTTCCTCCGTCAGAGCCTCATCCGTCCCAGTGGCCAACTCCTCTTTGGGCTCTTCCACTTTCACCTCAACAGGGGCAGGATGTGCTAAGGCTGAGATGGTGGATGAGGAAATAACAGGATTGGCACTTGTTGTTGTAGTAACAATAATTGGCGTGGACAGGTCAGAGTGTATTGAAGCGGGCACAATCTTTATCTGAAGAGGCGGTGGAGGCGTAGCCGTGACGGCCACAGAACTTCCTGCCCCTCCACGGGGCTTGGCCTGAAGAGGCGGCGGGGCTTGGGTTTGTACCATCTGCTGCAGACGTGGTGGAGGTGGGGTGCCCTGCATCTGCTGCAGTGGTGGAGGCTGTCGTCCAGCAGAAGCCGGATGCAAGGCTCGTACTCCAGCCGGAATCACCGTCACCATGGACGTGGGGATCTGGTGGAGCTGAGAACCTCCCTGCAGCATCTGCTTGGAGATAATGATTTTTGTGACAGTGGGTGTCGGGCTGGGGTTAGGGGTCAGGGGCTGGCCGATGGCCAAGGGTAGAGAACCCGTGCGGGAGCGGGTGGTGACTTGAGGCAGGTCGAGGATAATATTGGATGCACAGATGTTGGTGATGGTGTTCTGCTCAGGGATGGGGGTCAGGCGTGGACGGGCAGGGGCAGCAGGAGCAGGGATGACGGGTGCAGGACAGGGGACAGAGGGAGGAGTGGAAGGAGCGCTATCCTCCACCTCAGAATATGGCTGGATGAGAAATAAAGGAAAGAAAGTGTAAGATAGGGCAGCAAATAAAAAAAAACTCACAAAAGAAGAACTAGAAACAATTCACTCACTCTTGAGAGTTGATTTGCTCTGTAGGCTGCTAAAGCTTTCAGATACTCTTTCTTAGCTGCCTCGGTTTTCCTCTTGTAAACCTGCAAAAGTTAATAAAAATTCAAAATGACACAAAATGCATGTGAATGTAAATGTACCATTTCCAGATTCAATTCCTTAACATATCTATTAATTATTTTAATACTTTGAAAAATAAAATGCAACTCCATTGTCAAATTATGGAATAATGTTATAAATCTAAAGCAATTCCAGCACAATGTGTGTCTACAGACTTTTTAGTCTTTTTACACAAATGCAATTACAATAATTGACCTTAAAGGGATACTCCACTTTTTTTGGAAATAGGCTCATTTTACAACTCCCCCAGAGTTAAACTGTTGAGTTTTACCGTTTTTGAATCCATTCAGCCGATCTCCGGTTCTGGCGGTACCACTTTTAGCTTAGCTTAGCATACATCATTGAAGTGGACAAGACCATTAGCATTTCTCAAAAAAAAAAATGACCAAAGAGTTTCGATATTTTTCCTATTTAAAACTTGACATTTCTGTAGTTACATCGTGCACTAAGACCGACGGAAAATGTAAAGTTGCGATTTTCTAGGCTGATATGGCTAGGAACTATACTCTCATTCCTGCGTAATAATCAAGAAACTTTACTGCCGCACCATGAGTGAAGCAGGCGTAGGCACTTAGTCCCGGTCACGTTGGAAGTTACCGAGCTGGGGACTATTTTCAGGCGCTGCGTCATATCATTACGCCTGCTGCACTCATGGTACGGCAGTAAAGTTTCTTGATTACTACGCAGGAATGAGAGTATAGTCAAGTTTTAAATAGGAAAAATATCGAAACTCTTTGGTCATTTTTTTTTTTTAGAAATGCTAATGGTCTTGTCCACTTCAATGATGTATGCTAAGCTATGCTAAAAGTGGTACCACCAGAACCGGAGATCGGCTGAATGGATTCAAAAACAGTAAAACTCAACAGTTTAACTCTGGGGGAGTTGTAAAATAAGCCTATTTCCAAAAAAAGTGGAGTATCCCTTTAAGTATATACAGTATAAGCCAGTGGTGTGAATTTGGGGTGGGACAATCTGTTTATCCAACCAATGGAATGTTGAAAACAGTTGTGCTGCTTAATATTTTTGTAGAAACCGCAATAACTTTTTCATTCTTATAAGGGATGGTTCACCTAAAAATGAAAATTGTCATTTACTTAGCCTTAAGTTGTTCCAAACCTGTATGAGTTTCTTTCTTCTGTTGAACACAATAAGATATTTTGAAGAATGTTGGCAATCAAACCAAAAATATATACTATGAAAGTCAGTGGGGCCCATAAACTTATTGGTTACCTTCAAAATATCATCTTTTGTGTTAAAGAAGAAAGAAAAACATACAGGTTTGGAACAACATAAGGGTGAGTAAATGACATAATTACCCCTTTAATAAATAGAAACAGCATGCTGTATGTGTTTATAGAATATATATATATATATATATATATATATATATATATATATATATATATATATGAATATAAAACTTTTGTAACATTTTAATTTATTTACTGTCAAGTTTGATGAATGCAATGTATCTTTGTTAAATAAAAGTATTCATTTCTTTAATATAAAAAACAATGCCCCCAAATCTTTGAGTAGTTGTGCATATTTGAATTGCATTGCACTTTTTGCAAACACTCTCAGTCTTCAAAGAACTATACTCCACCTGTTTTTGCTCTTCTCCCAGGCTGTCCCACATGGATGCCACTATCTTGGACACCTCTCCGAATGTGGCATTTGGGTTCTGGCCCTTAATGGCTGCCTGGGTGTCTCTGAAGAACAGAGCATAGGCTGACACTGGCTTCTGTGGTTCATTGGGATCTTTTTTCTTCTTTCCTTTTTTGCCTCCCAGCGTTGCTCCCGTGTCCACTGTGGTCACAGGCACCATGGCCGGCTTACCGCCAACCCTCCTCACCACAGCTGGAAGAGGAGAAGAGAGCTGGCTGGAACCCGTCAAGTTGGGGAGGTGCGGTATGATCGTCGCAGAGGCTGAAGAGTAGTCTACCAGCATGGTTTTCTGTAACGGAAATAGGGATAGCTTGCAAAATGGAAAAAGAAAGAAAATGTGCCACAAATCAAGCCCATCACTGAAAGACTCACTTGTCTGAAGTCCTCCATGTCTTCATCCTGCAATGACCCAGAAGGAGATGGTGTGGTTGACAGCGTTTGGTCAGGTGACTTGGCTCCACCACCAAGGCTGAGCCCTAACTGAGCACTTAGATCTGAATGGTCTATGGTGGTGAGCTGATTGTGTCCTAAGAGACTGTGGCCCATGTCGTTTATTGGAACATCAATAGTCATGGAGGAGGAACTATTAAAATGGGAGCCAACAGAATGGCCGAGATCCTACAGAAAAAAAAAGAAAAAAAAAATCATTATCTGATGTACCAATCTATACTTTACTCAAGATCTAATTGCATTAAACAGCAATTCAAGTGCCCATTCTAACAAGCTGAAAGCAAGAAAATAAATGATCACTGACAAAACAAAAACAAAGCTTACCACACCCAGAGTTGAGCTCAGTAGTGCACTTCCTCCAGGCTGGTTAATCACACCCAAACTCAGATGCTCTATGCCCTGAGAAGACGGATTCATGAAAGCAGAGGCAAAAGAGGGATCATTCCCCCCTACTACAGTATTACTGGCAAGACTGTTTCCAACTCCAGGACCCCTTGAGCTCTCAGCCTGTTCAGCCAACTCTCCGAAATGGGCCTCCACATCCTCTATGGTGAGCGCAGAATCTGGATCCAAGGAGATTGGGATTTCAAACTCTTCATCGCCCAGACAGGGTGTATGGAATGTTTTCTACAAGCAAAAGTAAATGCATAAATAAAATGATAACACAGAAACATATACACATATATATAATTGAGTTAACCCAGTTAATTGTGACCAAAAGTAGCACCACCTCAAGAAAATGATGACCAGGTCCACTGATGGTCAGGTATGACTCATTGGCACCTGCAAACTAATAAACAGAGGTTAAGAGGTGTATTATTTACCTGCAGACATATTGATCAAACGAACACTACGTGACATGCTGCAATTTTAAATACAAATATACGTTTTATATTCAACTAAAGATGTTAACTACACAAAGTCTGATTTACCTTGGTCACTGAATCATATCCATTGTAAGACGAGTTTTCCATAAACTCAGAATCAACATGTTGACCGGTCCCGTCAGAGAGATCCGAGTAAAAATTCAGATCCATGAGGAAAATATCAAGACTAAATAAATAGATAAATTGGGTCTTTTGATATCAGAGAAGAGGTTGATCTTGTAACAAGCCAAGAGCAAAAAATTCAAAATTAAAAAGCAAAGTCATCTAAGAAAAAAATACTATTCACTAATAGAAAAGAAGCAAGAAACACAACATCTTGTTCTCGGTATTGTCCAATTTTATATGGTATGTGTTGCTCGGCTGAATAATGCCAGTAAACTTCATTACACGATCCCACACGCAGCGCAAGTAGTACCAGATTAGTTAAAAACGTTTATTAATAGGCTTACCAATTCAGCCAGCTAGCAGCAGCTAACGTTAACTGGCTAAGTGGTGCTAGTTCACAAAGGTGTTGCTGTTAAACCCAACGTGAGGTTTCATTCATATCACAGGCCTCGCGGAGAGACTTCTAGTATATTTGCTATATGTAATATCCAGCGTCTCATTACATAACACAATAAACTGTATATTCTGAATATATATTCAAATTGATTTAAGAAAGTTTGTATTAGAGTTGCACTAGCAAAGACAGTTGCTGCCAGTGTAAAAATGGACCGACTCGATCGGTGCTCTGTTACGTTTGTCTGTTTGCATTCACAAGTCACATTAATCGCACTCCGATCATAGATTTATTCGTAGCTCATAAAATGAAACCTTTTCCCTGAAAATATTTAACGCGACTCACGTTGTCTCTAGTTGGTAATACACCTCACGTTTAAATAACAGTTCTTCTGTGTTGAGCCTTTACTCTCGATAACCACCACAAATATTTTTTTCCAGAACGCCGCTGATTGTCACATGGCAGTCGTTACGTTTTACAGCGAGGATCAAGCTGGACCAATCACAGTCGTTTATGATTACAGGGGAATTGAAACTTATTTAATTATTTCATAGAGACTAAAGCAATGGAGTTACATTTTTACATCAAGAGCCCATTCTCACAAGTGTACTACTGTTTTCAATAAGACAAAAAAAAAATGGCTTTGTTATTTGAATGCATCTCAAAAGAGAATATGGTCACATGTGCCCCCTAGAAGAAAATCACTTTTTTTAAGCTTAACCCTATCATGCATTACATTTTCAAGTCACTTTCATATGCTTAGCATTGGTTAAATAAAAATTAAACTCGTTATCATATAACTACTCTAGTTTGAGCTGCTGATGTTTCTATTTTGCCATGTCCCTGGGTGCAATGCATTATATTGCGTCTATACATGTCTAACAATTTTTTTTCTTGTGAATGTTTTAATTAGTCAATTCAGCTTTCTCCTGTGTTCTAACACTTGTTGTTCTATTTTTTGTAATACCCCACTGGAAGTAACATTTATTTAGTGGGTAAACATGGCACAAACATTACCAAATATTAGCAATGGATTTGATAACTTTAATCCTCCTCATCTCTTTAATAAATACTTCCTAACATTTCAACAGGCATATTCACTTTTTATGTTACAGAGCTCAAAAGGCACCACATAACAGCAATCTATTTGTCTCATACTACAGTAATACTGATCACCCAATGGTTAAACCACATGCTCGACAGAGAAGGCAGTTTGCACCACAAGCAAATTGAGTTGTTCTAAAATGTAAAAAGCCACATTATATATGCAGGTTTTAGGAAAATGTTTGTAAACATTATCAAGACAATGTTAATTTTGTTTGTTATTGCTGGCAAATTACCATAATAAATTGTGAAACCTGACTTACCTTAACCCTGCCACATGCTAATTTTCTGTGATATTTATTGTCTCTTTCAATGTGTTAGTTTCAACCTTACTTGAATTGCTGAAACTACTCTAAATTTGTGATTTAATGTCAAGTTAATGATGTCAACTAAAGCTACAAGACAGCAAAATTGAAACTACTTGTTCATTAAAACAATCGTTAATGATTATGATATTTCTCCACATCAAAGTATAAAGTTTGAGAGAGAGAATAAACTTGCTTTTCTACTCAGCATGTATTCCAGGCAGCCAATAAAAAGAGCCTTCAGTGGTCATTATTGAAATAAATACCAACACTTGATGAAATGAATTCAACAGACATCAGTTTCCACTGTAGACTGCTATTCATATTTATATCACAGAGACAGTTGGAGTCAGTTATTGAAACGGGAATAAACGCATAATTTTTGCATCATTGCAGGCATAGGACCAACTCTACTTTGTACAATACAGCCATCATCTGTCTAACATTGTTTCAGTAACTAACCCTAAACCCCAAATCCTACCCTGTCCCCACCCCCCAACACACACACACAAAAAAAAGATATACATCCAACAAAAAAAAAACTCCATGTTCTTAACCAGACCGAGGCACCACGATGGCTCAGCTCAGTGCATGACTATGGATCCTCCAGCACACTGTTAAACAGTTCAGCCTGAGGGTGAGAGACAAACCGCTCCTTTCCCAGCCAATACAGGATGAAAGGGGCTTACTGTGGGTATGTGAGACAAATTCATATTTCATCTGGAATTATGCACAACGTGCTGAATGAGGTGTAACGAAAAAAAGAAAAAAACACAGCACCTGTATCTCCTCAATCTACGCAAAACAGTCAAGTACAAATCCAACCCAAGAAAAAAATCTGTTACTCCATATTTTAAGCAATAACATCAACAATAATTATAAAAATAATGAAGGCAGAATATAATAAAATAAAAGACTGTCATGATCTCGGTCTACTACATCTAACATGAGATTTGGTCAATCCTCTGAGCTTGAGGAAGAGTCTGAATTTTTTGGTGCCATGATGACATCATCCAAAATGGCCTCTCTGTCTGAACTATCGTATCCACCTTGTGACAAACTGTCACCTCCGTCCATATCAAGAGCGCTTGGCTCCATCTTCACATCGTAGGCTGGAGTAAGGAAGTGGTGAGATGACGTGAGGTGACCACCGTCTTCCAGGTCCTCATCGTCCATCATGTAAGCGCCATCGGAAACTAACGTCTCGCCTTCGCCGCCTCCGAGGAGAGGGTCGTCAGTCTGGATCGAAGGGGTGGAGAGGTAATGGTGATTCTTTTTGGGGATTGAAGCGTGGGGACTCAACAGTCTGTGGAATAAACTCTCAGGCAAGAAGCCCTGAGATTGAAGAGAAGGATCACATTAATTTCAATCAAATTGACAACTGACTATGATTGGTCTAACGCTATACAACCTGGGTAGATGAGGATAACCACCAGGCTAATAAAGGAGACACTAACCGAATTGCGAACAGTCTCAGACCATTCCGGTGCTACAGCGTGGTCAGGATTCTCCTCCAGGTGCTCTCTCAGGTCCTGTAGTGCAGGCCCGTAAATTCCACCAAACTGAAAAGCAGGGGAGTATAAATCATCAAGACCAACTGATCTGCACCAAATACATCAAAAGCAATAAAGCCCCGTTCACACTACAAGCGACTTTGTCGCTGCAGGGCGTTCCCACTACTGGTTGCCTAGTAATGTTTGTGAGTGACATTCACGGATGTTACTCTATGTTAGACAACAAATACGTTTTCTTGCAACTTCAAACTAATATTTTGGAAGGAAAAGTCTAAATATAAATGGAATCAGTACATAAAATGCATAATATTAAAGATGAATGAGAAACTCTTGTGCTCTTTGCTATCGCGGCTATTTAACTGCAGCACACGGGCAAATACCAGTCAATCTTGGTTCCCGAAACCATTCAGGTACAGAGTCAGTACGGTGAATACCACTGTATGTACACGGAGATATATTATCATAAATTATAGGACAGTTTCTGACTGCTAAAATGACCTTCTCGTTCAACTTGCCTCGGTCAGACTCAGCACTGAAGAGTGACGCGCTCCACTGACTTCACTCCTATTGGTTGTCGCTCCCGAAAGTCGCTCTGCATTTGCATAAAGTTAAACAGATCTCAACTTTGTCGCGTCGCCAGACACGCTCCACCGGTCCCTGTCGCGCGTGTCACCGGAAATCGCCCCCTCCCCATTGAAATGAATGGTATCGTGTCGCTTTGTCGCTTGTAGTGTGAACGGGGCTTAACTGTCCCAGACAAACCACATTGTAGATTGGTGTATTTGTAGATTTTTTTTTTGCATTTTCCATGAATGCATAAACTCTCTTATGCTCACCAAGGCTGCATTTATTTGATCAAAAATACAGAAAAAAACTAATATTGTGAAATATTATTACAAATTAAAATAACTTAATTTCTATTTTAGGCTGTTAAAATGTAATTTATTCCTGTGAAGACAAAGCTGAATTTTTAATCTTTAGTGTCACATGATTCTACAGAAATCATTATAATATGCTGATTTGCTGAAAAAACATAAATCTAATTGTGTAAGTGTAAATTATGGTAGAACTGCCAAATGTCTTCCCTCACCTTCTTGCCCGTCCTTATGTCTATGACCTTCACTCTCTCACTGCCAGTAAGTGCTGCTCCTTTCTCTATCCTCTTCCTCCTCCTCTTCCTTTTGGTCCGGTTCACTAGTAACTGCAACAACAAGATGAACATGATCAGGCGTGTCAGTCCAAAAAGAAGTGCTCAACCTGAGTTATTCACTTACCTCTAGCATGTCTCCCTCCACTTCATAATCTGGGTTTTCTTTGAGCCAGTTGGGAAGGTCCCTCCTGCGGGGAGCATGGAGAACCCCTTCAGCATCTACCAGCTAAAGGTAAAAAAGAAAGAAAAAAAAGCACATTATAGAGCTGGACATAAAGGTATTTAATGTCAATTTAAACCAGTGTTTCCCCTACCATTGTTTTGGGGGGGCAGCCCGCCCCCCCAAAACGCCCCCCCGCCCCCCCTAAAATGCTGACGAAATCCAGTCATAAAAAAGGAATTTTGTGTATAACGCAGAATTTCACGGAATTAGTAAATTTGAGGAAAAAATAGAAAGCAGTTCAGTACACTTGAAATCAAATCGCGATGTAGACTAGTGTGTGGATATTAAAACACAAAGACTATTTAAATACGAATCCTGCATGTTCTGCGTGAATGAATGGTGCCGCCGACGCGCAGTTTCCACACACACACACACACACACTGAAACACGTGTGACGCTTGCGCTGTTTTTTGGCCTATATGAAGACACAAATGCATTCCTCTTCCTCTTTAGGCTCTAGATCCACCCTGAAAGTCACTTTGTGATAATTTCACCGCTTCATTTGAGAAAAACTATCATCATGACATAAACACACAGAAACTCAAAAGGTCTTCACGGCAACCCGTCAAAATAAAAGTTCGGTTTAACGTCAGACATATATTACTGTTGTACATTAGAATTTAGATATGTCCAAATGTAATAATACATTAATCCAAATAAATTATCATCAAAACTGACATTTTTAAGGAATAATCCATGTTTTAATTTTAACAGTAGGCTAAAGCTCATTGTGCAGCAAGTTATTTGACAAAAAGTTTATTTAATTTCATATGATTAAAATTGATGATAAATGCTAAAATCTGTGTTTTATGTCTTCATTTTATTACCAGAAAAAACACAACACAGAATCATTGTGAATTTTTTTTTCATATATATATATATATATATATATATATATATATATATATATATATATATATATATATATATATATATATATATATATATATATATATATAAAAAAGTTGTATAAGTTTAATGATTCATAATACATGATTTCAATTAATAAAAATAAAAAAATTACACCACGTATCCGTAACACGCCCGCTCCGCAACACTAGCAGTCAACCCCCCCCCCCACCCCCCCCCCCCCTGAAAAAAAATCCTTAATGAGGCTGCATTTCTGTACCTCGTGGTCCTTTCGCTTTTTGCGTGCACTCCCTTCACCGTTTGGCATCAGAGCTTGCTTAGAGAATGTCAGCTTCAGCCCCTCCTCCTAAAGAAAACGAAACAAACATTAAAGCAGAAGAAAGAGACACCAATTGAGGTTCATAACTGTTCCTAAATGTCTGAACACTACCTCACCTTCAGGAGTTTTACTGTGAACTCTGATTCTTGGCCGTCAAGTACTTCTGCAGATAGGGCACTGTTGCTTTTGCGTCCCACTCGGGGGTAACCCAGGTCATCGCTGAGGTCACGCTCGTCAGATGCAGCACTGAGCTGAATGTCAGAGACGTAGCGGCGACCTGACGGCCAGTGTCCCATTAGAACCAGCGAACAGAGGTTGTCTATTCGGTTTATCAGCACACGGTCTTTGGGCCAATCGACTCTTAGAGGGTCAGTGAGTGACTCGGCAGGGGCGCCTTCTTGAGATGGTGTGAGTGAGAGGAGGCTGTTTTCTTCATCACCATCACACATCTTAAGAGCTGCTGCTGAGAGATCAGTCATTTTAGTTACAAATCTCATATAAATCTACCCAAATTAACTAATTAACCATTACAGCTGGGCAAAGAAAAAAAGAATGATTGAGAAAAGAAATCCATGGAAGACAAAAAGTAATACAAGTTTGAGTGTTTTATTTTTGAAAATGTAGATTTGTTGATAGTATTCAAATGTTTTATCAGTATCGTTCAAAAGATTTCATTACGATTTTTTAAATGTTTTTGAAGGGAATCTCATGCTCACTAAAGCTGCATTTATTTAATCAAAAATACAGTAAAAACAGTAATATTGTGAAATATTGTGTAAATAACAGTTTTTGTTTTTTTCTGAAAATAGAATTTATTCCTGTAAAGGCAAATCTTAATGCTAAATATTTTTGTGAAAACTTTGGATCTTTTATTCCTCAAAGACAGCGGGAAAAAAAAGCATCAAAGAAAATTATTTATTTGAAATAAAAACCTTTTGTAACAATCAAAATTTAATGCATCCTTGCTGAAGTATTAATTTTGTAATTCTGAAAGAAATTATATATTGTGAAAATATTGCCTTGACCAAACTGATTTTTACTGTATTTTTACTTCTTGGATAAAACCTTGACTATAATTTTTGATTGGTAATGATTTCGCTGGATTGCCTAAAAAAGGTGCAAAAATGTTTCAAGATGCATCCTGAACATCATCATTAGGCAAAACACTAAGAAATAATATTTTCCTGCTGCAGGATACCATAAACCTCATTTAAATGCAACAGCGTCCCCTCCTCACCTCGTTCTCTCTCTCCATCACTGTCGCCGCTATCATCCGAGCTGCCCGAATGACGGGAGGAAGACGACGAGCCAGAGTCTGAATCGGAGTCAGAGTCTGATGGGCCTTCACCTCTCTCTCCTCCTCCTTTATTCTCACCCGGCCCATTGTTTTTGCTCTTCTTCCAGGCCCATCCAGCCTGAACTCCAACTTTCCCCTCAGAATGGGAGAGGAGCATGGCTGGGGAGTCTGACGGACAGAGGGTCTCCACCCCTAGCAGCCGAGACTCATCATCTAGGCTCTCCTCTTTGATACTGGTCGAATCCTGTGACTGACTTAACGATTGAATCTGTGAGGCAGCTTGGGCTTGCTGGTTCTGGAGGTAGTCGAGACGGGCCTGACTGAATGAGTACTGTGGGTCAGAGAAGATCGAGAGTTCAGTGCGGCTGACGCCATGTCTAGCAGCAGCTAAGAGCAGCTCGTGGTCGTGCTGTGGGAAGCTCCACCAGTTGGGCAGATCAGAGCTGGGTGGTGCCAGACTGAGGCGTTCCTCTAACGAGGGGTGACGAAGAACACGTTCACGTAGCCGACACAGCAAGCTGACCCTGTAGAGTGTGCGCGAGGCTCGTTCTTCTGTGATGGGGGCCAGGGATTGGGACAGATCTTGAGATTCTAATAGAGGAAGAAGAGATAACAGTAGAAAATGTGTTATTAAAAAAACTGTCATTGTAAACTACAAAAAAATTGTTTTGCGGGTCACATTAATGTTATGGTCAGTACACAATCAATAGCCAAAATTAAAATGCTATACTATTTTGTCTAAATAAAATTAAATGAAAACAATAATGAATCATTTTCAAAATTCTCTTAAATTCTACAAGAGAATTTAGGCATCATAATGTATTTAATGTTATTTTAGTATTATTGATATTTTAGTATTTATTACCAATAATTTATTAGGTTTTATATTTTCAGTTCATTTTAAATTTTAAGTTTTAGCACTTTTGTTTTAGAACTTATGAGATTGTCATTTTTTATTAGTTTTAGTTTTTATTTCTATATAGCTTTGTGTTTATTTCAGTTTTAGTTCTTAAACTTCTTTCAGTTAACTGGCAAGGCAACATTCCTAAATTTCAATTTAATCTTCAAGTTTTTCATCTGATATTTACTTTTTATTTTAGCTTTGTTTCAGTTACCAAAAATGATTTTTAAGAGTTTTAGATTACAATAACAACACTAATGTATAGTATTAAAAAATGGGATTTGCTAAAGATGTATGTTGTTAGTGTTTGTAAAGATCATTAGATAAATGGCAAAAATAATCTAAACGTAAAAATAAGAGACCCGAGTATTCACAATTAAATTTACAATATCAAATCAATATTGTTAACATTAAAATGCATAATACTCGCCGATATGGTAGATATATTCCGCATTCATAATCCCAAAAAAATTCCATTTAATTAAATCAACTTAAATGCCAAACAGGTTCTCATTCAATACCTTCTCCACGTGCAGGCCGAAGGTGACACACTTTCCGACACATGGACATGAAGCACTTGAAGTAACGCGTCAAGCTTTCATCTGTTTTTTTATCAAGCCGAGCAAACGAACGAAAATGATTCCAGTCCATATGATGCTCATCCCCTTCTAGAGCCTCTACCTCTTTCTTTATCCTTTCAACGCCAAAGGTCGATACCACCCTGTAAAAATCACACTCCTCCCTACGAGTCCACCTGAAACAGAGAAGCTTATGAGAAGACTGAAGAGGAAGCTTCAGTAACGGGTTTCTTGAGGAACATACCTTTGTTGTCGTTCTTGTCGGGCTATCTCTTTGAGTTTAGTGGCTTGTTCACACCGTCTACGTCTACGGTCGCCCTTCTCTGCTGCCTCCATCTTAAGCTGCTCTCGCCTGTAACTGCGTTGGTAGGCTGTGATAAGACGCCGTAGTCTGGCTGTAAGCGATGAGCTCGTTGGCCAATAACACAAATCTGATGATCCCGAAGATGGCCCCTCGACCTGCACAGGAACAGAGCGATCCTCCACACAAATATCACCATCTGCATTCACCGAATCAGCCTGAGGAGCACAGTATCCACATTTATTATTATTATTATTTCTAAATTCCTAATAACACCACCACAAGATAAATGTGCCAGAATTACACATACACAGGAACAAAAAAATGTAAGTGATTCAAAATGCACATACCTCCTCATACACCTCCTTAGTGTGCCTTGTCGCAGGCTTAAATTCTGGATCTTCAGAGTACTTGTCGTAGTCTCCTCTAAGACACAAAAACAAAATAAAAAATTAAGCTTTAAATCTACCAGTCAAACATATAAGCTGTAATATTATAATGCATCAGATCTATTTTGAAACTGACCCCTCCCCAAGCTCTGGGTCTACTGCTTGCTGCTCCGCATTAATGTCCTGCTCATTTGGACGGCCACATCGCTCAACAAAACACAAGCAGGGGTCAGCACGCATGGTGGTGTACATTTCATATCCTGAAATGGCAGAGTAAAGAGGAAAAAAAAACACATCAGGGATATGCAAGCCTACATATTTTTGTCTTTGGCAGGTATTAGGATGACTTGTCAGCCTTAAATCTAGATAAAATCTCCAATATACCTCACTAAGTCCAAACAAATTAGTTAGTTGTTAGAGGACTACAAACATCAGTTTTAAAAGAGCAACATGGGGGCAAAACTATAAGGAAGATCTTATATTATAAGGAAGTTATATTAACTAGACACCCTTGAAGATGACGAGGTTAATAAAGCCTACACATACCATGCTTATAGACTCCGATAAGCAAACAACGGTCAGCTTCTGCATCCCACCAGCCAGACGGAACATCTTGCTGCTCCATTTCAGGCAACCAGATATCAATATCCCTGCAAGGAAACACACTTTCAAATTTAAAGTAAAAAAAAAAAAACTATGATCAATGCATCAAGAAAACTTAATTTTTAAGCTTGCTGGGGATTAAAAAACATCCAGGAAGAATGTAAGATTTGGTGACAACTAAATTGTTAGTGTATGTTCAGTACATGGCCACATCATGAAATTTAAATTTTTGCACTTAGCAGATGCTTCTATCCAAAGCAATGATAATTTTTGAATTCAGATGAATATTAATGCACGTAGCAGAGCTTTTTAAACAAAGTGATATTTTTTTATTAAAAGCAATGAAGTCAGACGATGACTATACCTTGCATCAGCTCCTCTTAATACAGAATCAGCATGCTCTCCAATGACCTCCTGCTTCAGGTAATACAGCATACGTACTCTCAGCAACACTCTGAAAAAGAGGGAGAATGAAATTAAGAAACTTACGGTAATATTTATAACAGTGTTTCAGATGGGTCTAACATACTTGTTGCACTGATGTTTGAGGTGTTTTCGGTAACTGTCATCAAGCAGTAGACTGTCAGGATTGTACTTGCGGATCCACTCAACTTTCTGCACATCAAAAGAGCTCTGAGCCTTCACTCGCTTCCCCTTCCTGCCACGAGGGACAGGGATGGACAGACCTAAAGGAAAGGGAAAAAGTCATTATGCACCTCTATAAAAGCGCATAGCATGAAAGTAATGCTCTGTTTTAAAACCTACATAAGCTGTTGCATTCTAAAGCTCCTTTTCATTATCTCCGAGAAACGACAGAGCAGAAGTCATTCAATTTCAATGGAGAGTAGTACGGTGTAGAAATAATCCAAACTAATTATTTTACAATTATTACATAATTATTAACATTGATATAAAACCAACTATGTTTTTTTCCCCAGACATATTACCGGTCAATTATTTTGTGTGGATATTTTCACACATTCATTGTTCACTCATTTTATCATGTTAAATGAATGGAGGGTAATGGATGCTTCATGACCAATTTGAAAGTGAGAAATGCAACAGTCAAATGTCGAAGATAGTGGAAAGGCAGCTTAAGAGAAAATGTTGACTCGTGAAAATCTAAAGAGCTCTACCACTACCTGAGGGTCTTTGCTGGTAGTATCAAAGAGTGTCAATTTAAGATTATAATGAGAGAAAGTAATACCAGAGTGATTAAGCAGAGCCTGTGGCTCTCGTCCATTCTCTGGAGGGGTGATTAGCTCCCAGATGAAGCTTTTGATGTTCTCATCTCCACGGTAATGTATCAGACAGAAAACCAGGATGACGCGACAAATGGTTTCCACATCACGTTCACTGAGACGCCGTTTACAGCGAGCATGAGACAGGATATCCCGCCAGCGGCCCCATCTGAAGAGAGAAAGTTACGTTAAAATGTATGAAACCATAATTCCATGAAGTTTCAAACATGAACAGGTGAACTAAAACCCATTTCTTAAGAACAACTACATATGATAACGAAGAACAAGTTCACAAACCCATAAACAAGTAGGTGTTTCTCCACTCGGAAGCAGTCTGTGCGCCCGTAACCTCCACCAGAATGCCGGTCAGAGCGTCGAGAGGCCCGAGATTGACGGGAATTATGGGGTGGGTAGTCGTCATCGCTGTCCATGTCAGACAGATCACCACCCTCTCCACGCAGGGTGGAATACTGACGCGTTTGCTTTCTTATTCTTGGTGTGTCAATCACAAGAGTGTTCTGAGTTTGCAAAAAAGAAATCAAGAGAAATTATGAATGGGAATATTGGCAGAGAATAAAGGATACAGTAGTAGTGTTGTCACGATACCAAAATTATTGTTTCGATACCGATACCAAGTCAAGAATTGCGATTTCGATACTTTTTCGATACTTTTCCTGAAAAGGGAGAAACACTCTCAAATATCATTGCTGTGCTTTATTTTAAAACTGGGACAACATTCCAATCATAACACACTAATAAATGAACATTTGAACAGCAGATAGGCTATAATAACCATTTGAACAAAATATGAAATATGAAAAATATAAAAAATAAATTAGAGCAATGACATTCAAGGTAAAAAAATAAATAAATTTAGCAGCATTATCTCAGTTATCATAAGAAACATAAGATTTTATCAATATCAATGCCACTGACGATTCTGCTTATCGATCCGATTCTTTAACGATTCTCTTATCGATTCATGATAGCATTGTGTGGAAAAAAAGTAGTCATATGCTTTTTCGGGGGAAAAAACAAGTGTTTTTATTTGTTTTATGTAATTTATGTAATAAATGAAACCTTATTACAAAGTGTTAACGATTAGTTATACACCGATTCAGACAGATCAGTTGTTTTAACCATTCATTAAAACGAATCGGTTCAAATGAGTCATTAGTTCGCGAATTGGACGTGTCATTATCGGACGTGTGCGCGTTGTGTGATTATCCAGGCGGTTACATCCCACTGTCATCACAGAAAACATTTCATGACTGGATAGTTTTTTTCATTTATTTAAAGTGTGGTTTATGTCAGCTGAATGTGCGGAACGATTCAGAGAAGATAAGGCAACGTATTTT